TACAGTCGGCGCCATCGAGAAGATGAATAAGTGGCTAGAAAACTTTGGTGAAAACAATAGGTTCAGTTATACGTTCATAAGTACGCATATATTCCCTAAGTACAAACCACTCCTATTGGCTGTAGGTTCTCAACTCGCGTTGACGGTGGGGGTTCAACATGTTTTTTTTAGGGTGCCACTTGTACAAGTGTGCTGAACGTTTATTATGGTATCGACGTAGCGATTCTAGTACAAGTATTCTATAACACAGGGCTTGTGAAGGTGATAGTCCCCATTCAAACGCGTGTTCCTCTATAGAAATTTTTATTTGTTTTTGTTACCAGGTCTTATAGGACACTTAATATTCAACCATGTTATTCAAGGCTAAGGCCACCAAGACATTGAAAACCCTCTGTATCGAAACGAGAAGAAAATCTCTTCCAAAATATGTAAAATAGTGTTTTTGCAACGTATCCGTGTATGTCCTCATATTGGCCACCAACGTTTCATGACAATTTTGGGCACAACGTATATGAATGAGTCTGCATTTCTATTTATTTATTGGTATCTACGTGACGCATTTTTTCCCGTCCCTTCCGAAAATGAAACTGTAAAAAATCTGTCTTCTTCATGTAGGGGGTCCACATGCGTAATCGGTATTTTTTTAGTACATTTGTCTTCTATACGAATCTCTGTCTTTTTTTGCTTGCTTATGTGATAGATACGTACAAATCTGCGAATTTTGTGCGAGTGAACTTGTGTGTACGTCTACATCGTATATACCACTGCTGGGAGGATGATTGACAGAGAGAGATCTGATAGTTTTCTTTTTGAGATTTCGACTGGCTGTGGCGTCCACCACCGTACATAAAGCATGCTTACGCGGTGCCTATCAGTGTACATATGTATATACCAGGCTCGCGCCGCAGCTGGAAGACCTCCAGCTGTGGCGGCTAGGTAAAGGCAGCATCGTTCATCGATATAGCGGATAGACATACAACAAAAAATGATCTGTTGCTGATTTCATTGTCCTACGACGTTCCAGTTTGTACGAGCTGGTAAATGAGCGAATCTGCTCACCAGCTGCAAACACGAATGCATGCACATACACGCACAGAGACATAAAACAGACGTCTGTTTAATAGTACGTATTGGTACGGAAGTTAACGGACATACGTGTGGATAAAGTTAAAAAAGCCGACTTACATTTTATAAATAGTAGTAGCTATAAATAGTATGGGTATAACGTACTGTTAGACTACGTAGTCCCAATTTCTTCGCTTGACATTCATGTAGCTTGGCAGCTATTTTTAGCTATTTTTTAGGGTATGAATTAACCATTTGACCGGGGCTTGCTATGAGTGTGATTAGAACTTCGCCTGGTCGGTTGACATTGACTCAACTATGTTGAGTAATACTTATAATTTTCTTCGATCCGCTCCATCAACTTCAGTGCCGTGACACATTTGCTGTTAGGATTGGCGGGTTGCCTGCCAAGCACTGTAGATCCAAAGAAATCAGCCCTATATTGCTACTAGAGACAGCAGTAAAAAAAAAAAAGGAATAAAATAGCATTATGTTTTAGCGTTAAATTTTAGTTTATTTCTTAGTCAAAAAATCGCTATCAGTAATTAGTACATTCACACTTGCTAGGGTCACGTCCTTTAACATGACGTCAAACAGATTTATTTACAAATCGTCGACTTTTTTGACTTCTGCTTGCCCTGATACGTTATTTGTTACGTTAGCGTTGTCGACGCACCTGGATATCGCTAAAACAGAAATAAATTTGTGGACTCTGCGGGTTGTTTTCCGAGAATGATTAGATGAGTGTACACCCGAAACAGCTGTATATCGATCAGAGAGAAGAGCGTTTCGTTGGGCGTCAACAGGGATAGAAGCTATCTCAAGAAGGACAATTCTATGGGTGTGAAACTGATTTATATAGAGTCATAGCTAAGCTAGCTACTACTGAATCAATTAACATGAATACATATATATTGAACGTATGTGTATGATGGCACTCCAGTGGGCGCAGCCCCGTGTCCTAGAGCACCAACTTGATTTTTGCGGGATTCTGTACTAACTGTTCTTAAAGTTTTCGCGAGCTGATGTTGCAGGTTACGTCTGATAAACTAGTCACGCCACAGCACCCCAACGCTTGCTGATGTCGTTTATAGAACGTGGATTCTTTACTATCTGCACCTGTGAAATTGAATGTAGACTACGCGTGAAATCGGAAGGGGATCGAAATCGATTGAGAAAAACTAAAAGTCATCAGGCCTCGTATGCTAGAAAGTTGATATATCCTTGAGTTGATTTCGTGGCATGTATGAACTGAATTCGGCGAGTCAAAGTACGAGTATCGGTTAAACGGAAAATCGCGTGCATCTGTTCGATTTGAGTTCCTGTTCCGTATCTATAAAAATAGGTCTTACTGTATCTTGTTGGTTGGACGAGGCACATGGATACTGGACATACATGAATAAGTTACGGTAAGTTCATTTTCCCGTTCGCAGTTGAACCATCCTCCCCGAATAGTGAAACGATTAAATTGGCCAATGTAATTTGCTAAATGGGCCAATTGTAGTTAATTATATGTGGACCAGGTATGTACAAAGACTGTAGCTAGCGTCTTCGAATCGTGCGTTGTTTTTACTAGTTCAAATACAGATATTTTCTAATTTGGCTTTCAATAAAGCAAAACAAATCTTAACAGGTAGATACAATCAATGTCCAACGAGCAAGATGTGGAAAAACTAATAACGAAATAGGACGACGCGTTTTGTGCAGAAGCCTTTTTATCTAACAGCTTCTGATTACCCAAACCGTTGAATTTATCAGTATGATGGTAGTAAGACGACGGAATTAGTTTCAATGTAGAAACAGTTCTATTTATTTTAAGACTAAATTAACAACAGTGGGCCTATTCAGAAATGACTACTGACCCCTTTTGTTGAAAAAAGCTACTACAAATACTTAATGGAGCCGTCATTAAAAGACCCTGTCAATTGAATGTTATTATCACCTTCACTGTTTTTGTATTGCAGGAAGGTCTCGGTAATAGTTAAGAATGCGGCCAAAGTGCCCATGGAAGACCATTGACCTCTATAGAGGCAAATAGAAGTACATCGTTGGCGCTCGTTTAAAGTATCGGTTCAAGTATCAGTGTTGTAGAATTGTCGGAAATCGTATACAATAGAGCTCACAGTATATCTTGTTTCATTACGCTACACAATTAATAAATTTCTATCTAGATAATAAGAAATGCCCAGTTCTCGGCAGAACTGAGCTATAACCTGCTAATGATACTAACAACTCCACCTCTAACATTTTGCTTCTTAAATTCGTTAACAAAATAAATTATTATTCTTTTGTCTTCTGTATAATGTTCACTTGTTTAGTCGACAAGTTGTTTACTATACGAGATTCCACCCCTTTTTTAATCTTGGTATATTCTGAGGTATAGGCAGGCGAAACCTAGGGGAAAATGTTGTTTGACCTGGAGTCCTTAAAAATTGCGCTTAAAGGTCGAGCTGTGCAGCACACTATACTTCTAGATTTTTCAATAGCTAGGTCCCTTATTACCAACTACAGCGGTTAACTTCTCGGTATAAAGATGTCATCTGGGATATTGTGTCTGTTATACGATTCTCAAACGTAATCAAGTCTTTCTCTTTTTCTTGGCTGCGGTAGCCTACAAACATAACCGATAGCGACCTGTATGTTCGCCTCGGTGAGGTCCTACGGAGGAAACGACGTCGTTCTGTCAACCGTAAGTCAAAGCCACCTTTGGTTTTTGGATACGTTTCCGGTTGGATTTCCGTTGGGGAAGTGCGACATTCAATTCCCTACTCCGACAAAAAGATACCGACCTCGACTAGATAAGATTCGACAGGATATAGTGCTGATGCTCCTCTCCAGATCGTTATTCAGGATATTTATACGTGCGTGTATATTCTACGCGTAGGCACATAAGTGGAGTACGATAGAAAACGGAAAGGGATTCACTTACCGTTGCACGAGATCATACAGCAAAACCACGATCAGCTATGCGGCAAAGTTCACGAGACTCTTTTCAAGACTACGCTAACCCCATATATACCGACCCTGGCCTTCTGTACTGCGACAAGGAACAACATTACATTACATGCTGTAGGTCATTTAACTTCGAATAAGGTATAAATTTATAGTCGCCAAAAGGAAAAGTATAACGCTGACCTAACTGAGACGTCTACAACAACAACTGGAAAAGGAACTTGTTCAATGTTACTCACATTATAATAGTTGTTTGATTCCAGCGCTACTTTATTTTTACTGAACGGCTTGCTCATCACTTACAGTATCGCTATTCCTGCTAAGTTCTAAAGTACTTGTATATTCTGTATCCTGGTGCTTCAGGATATGCCCTATTACGTCATGGCAAGATGGATATTTACTACTATTCGACCATAATTATCTTCCGGGGAATTCTATACGCTCGAATCCTGTTTATTGTAAAGCTTAGCTCAACTAGTCAGTGATTGAGTATTTAACGTCGTTAATAAAGAGATTTCTTTACATTGAGAGATCCAGGCAAGACATTATCGCTCTTGATATTTAAAAAAAATCGTTTTTCTACCCTCACAACATAAGGCTCATTCATCTCCTTTTCCTGTTTCTATGCCTTGTCGACTACGATGTTTGTGGGCGATGGACATCGAGGATCTCAAATACGGTCCTCCGTTTAAAACTCTGCGGATATATTTACCTATGACAGCTATTACCATACCTTTGTAAACCAAACATATACTGCTCACTAAAAAAAATATTGCAGATAACTAGAAACAATCGATTCTATGCTATCCTCCTCCGTAGAAATCGTCTGTTGACATGAAGCAAACTAAGATGGGGGCATTCCCATCCTGGTCAAATAAACTCGTCAATCTTTGTACATATATATAGCCCAACTTATTTTCCTTCTCTAATCAGCGTGATAAAATTCAATCTGAAATACTATAATAATCCGAACAATCAAAAGATATTCTATATCTGCAGATCCTAAGCCTCATAGGGAACACATATGGGTGTTTTCTTTTCACAAAAGTACATTGCTGTCGATTTCACTATATTATTTTTATTTAGGATTTTTTACATTTTGCGTTTTTCCTCCGCTTACATGAACACGAGTCTTTTTCTATTTAATTGTGTGTGCAAAATGGGTAGAAATTATATTATATCAAGATGCGGATTTAAAAATGACACTAAGCACAGACCACATTACAGGTGGAAATGGACCCCGATTTGTCATGCATTCAATTGAATTTGTAACGGTTTTCGCAGGCGGAACCAATCAAGCGTTTGCCCTCTAATCTTTCGCCCCGCATTTGTTTACATTCTATTTTACCTAATTAAAATTGAACTGAGCCTCCTGCACGTGGACTGTGCCAAGCTCGAAATACTTAGTCATGACGAAACTTTGAAATAAATACCCGTCGGAAAATTCACCAAGGCGTTCTCATTAAGCTTTTATATAAATTCAGTGTATGAGGTTCCTCTTGGAGAGGGATGCTGCGTAACAGGGGAAGACCATTTTACGTGACGAGGGTTTCGTACATGGCAAAACATTCCTATGATAATTTACAGCTTGTTATTGGTATAAAATAATCAGTCAAGTTCGTTAGAGGAAATAGAAACCTAAAAATACAATGATCTCCCTACTAAAATAAAGAAAACAAAGCAAAGACGATATTCGGATGACGCAGTGCCTCGTGTATCGTGGCCTTGTTTGAAGTGCGCACACACGCTATCACAGAGATATACTGAAAGGAAATCTGCTATATTAGCCAAATCTATGCAGTTCTTCCATTTATCTAAGAGTTTTTGTTGGCATTCCTGTACAGTATTATGTCATTGACGTACACGTTGGTCACAGGTTTGCAGAGATCTTGGTCTCTCTTTTGTCTCTCTTTTTTTTTTTTTTTGCTTGTCTTATAATAATATATACATTGTCAATGTACAGTGCGGTTACCAAGCGTTTGTCATTTTACATCTTCTTCGTCAGCAGAATAAAGGCTCTTGTAAAAATACGTGATGCATAGACCTTTACATCTGTGTCCTACTTTTCCAAATCTGTCATTGTTTCATTTTCTACCATACCATAGGTAACCTTTCATGTAATTTGTTTTTTTCTCTTTCTTGCATTCTCTCAACCTTTTAGGTCTTCGCTTTCATTCACAGACTGACTTAGAGTATGGAAAGATTCAACAAGTAAGCGTTATCTGTTTATAAGGTTGTTCATGCTAGCAATTCGTCATGTTTGCGCTGTCATGCGCAAGTTCTCCAGGCACCAGTGGTCAACAACCTTTACATCTTTACATTAATCGTTATATCATACATTATTAATTAGATGATGTATTCGAGCATTCACCTATTTACATTCGATATTTGCCATCGTCGTGGCCAACTTCACTCAGGCAAAATTTCATAGACAGCTTCTTCAATGGTCGGATAGCTGGCATCATTATTGAAATCATCACAGGGATAGACGGGGTGGGCAAAGTCGTTGTCTTGCTGAGTAAATGGTGTGACAACAGAAGCAGGTTGGCTTCTGAAGACCATATTTCCTGAAGGTAGTACGTTCACTGGGTGGACTACCTCGGATAAAGAGGTTGTTGTCAGCGAAACGCCCCATGGATACAAAGCAGCGGGAACTGGTAAAGTTGAAGCAACTTGTTGTTCCTGCTGCCAGAGGCTGCCGGGCTTATCCTCCTGTCAGATATGCACGGCTACTGATGTTAGATCAGAACGCATGAGCTTGCGGTGGCGAGGCGCATCCGACGGCATCGCATAACGAAGTTTATCCCAGAAGTTCTTTTCACCCCAGTGCAAGAACTCGCTGTGTTTCAGCCACATGCGAATGTCAGGGTCTAACTCGCGATATGACACCCGGCCAAGAAAAATTACGATCAGTTTATGATTGCTGCCATTGTTTAGTACCTCGTGGTGAGCTGACTTGAACTCGTAGCGGCACCACTCGCTCTGCAAGAAATGCTCGGAGAGGATGACGATCGTTCTCCGGGAACTCTCCACTGCCTCCTGGATCGCATCACTCAGGTAGCCGCCGGCCATAGGCAGATCACGATAGTGCAGACAGAGCCGGTAGGGGGGCTTGCCGCATTCCAACTCTGGGGCGAGTATCTGAGCGACGAAGGCTTCGTCGTTTTTGCTGTACGATACAAAAGCATCGAACAGCTTCTCCTCTTCGGCGGGTGCTCGATGAAACATGCGCACGCCGTAGCGAGTGAAGAACCATACGCTCATCTGATGCCGATAGATGATTAGAGCTAACGTCACTATGACGAGCACCACGCAAAGAGCTCCGATGGTGACGAGTAGCGGGACGATATCGTCGATCCGACGAAACTGGAATTGCCCAACGAGCGAAGTCACCTCTGATGGGTTGAAGCACTCAGTTGCGTTTAGCGCCCACAAAACCAGTGCCGTTGTCTCATTGTACAAACATGCTAGATCGTAGCTATCCCGTACGATCTCCCCACGCTCGTGGAGGAACTGCTGATACTGTTGAATAAAGTGGCACTCACACGACCACGGATTGCCGGCCATTTGGACATCGGCAAGACGCGAGTTGTACTGGAGACTCCACACAAAGATTTTGGTCAAATAGTTGCGATCAAGGTAAAGCACTTCGAGACCCTTCAAATGCGCAAACGTCATATTCGACACATAACTTAGCTGATTGTTGGAAAGATACAGTTTTTTCAGCTTTGAAAGCGCGTGAAATTCATGTCCGTGTAACACCGAGAGCTGGTTGTTTTCAAGGTGAAGCTCGGATAGTTCTGTAAGGCCGTCCAATGACTGGTTTTGAATGGTGACGATGGCCGAGTCATTGAGGTAAATCGATCTCAGGGCCTTACGACCAGCGAATGCCTGCTGGCCAATCACAGGAATGTCATTGCCGTCTAGGTATAGCTCGCTTACGTCTGCTGGCAACCTCGTCGGGATTTCATTGTAATTCCTAGCGCTACATTCAACGATGTTGGTATTCCAGGATTCGTCGTGATAACATGTGCAGCTATCGGGACAGGCCATTTCGCAGTCGCACGCGTCAAAATCACAGCAATGGCACAATGAAAAGCAATGACTCTTATACTCGCAGAGAAACTGTGATGGCTTCACCTGAAGAAAGGGTATCTGTTGGCCGTCTTTCGAAAAGCTCAGCTTGCACTCAACCCTGTGTAGGTCGACCACCCGAGGATAGTACCGATAGTGGTTAGGCTTCTGTAGGCCTTGGAGCCATTGCATATGGCAGTCACATAGATACGGATTATTTGCAATGGCAAATTCAGGCAAAGGACGGTGGGCTGGAATCTCACTAAGGCGGAAGGTGGTCATTTCCAATCGCTGCAAATTATTGTTCGATAAATCAACTCGCGTAAGATTCTGCTTTCCGAGAAACGTAAATGGCCGTATGAGCTTCAGATCATTGTTTTCTAATAGCGCAATCTCTATACTGTTCGGTAAAGAAGACGAGTCCAACGACGTAAGCTTATTGAACGAGGCATCGATTGTGCGAAGTTTCAAGCTCTGTTCCAGTTCGAAGTAATTGCCTAGTGCTTCAATCTGATTATCGTGAATATCTAACCACTGAAGACCTAGCGGTATTTGGGCGTAGTCAAACCATCGCACTCGATTGACCGAAATATTAAGCATTATGAGATCATGCAGATTGCTGAATAGACCATTGACGTCTTCAATAAGGTTCGAGTCAAGACGCAAATAATGTAGATTGGACACGTCATCAAAGGTAGCCTGCTCAATCTTGTGAATGCCGTTCGCGGCCAGGTTTAGTATCCGAACCGACCTCAGATCGCTAAAAGCGCCTTGGCTTATGTTGCCGATCTGGTTTCCCATCAAGTTGAGCGCGTACAGCTGACTGAGGCCCTGATAGGACGCGTTAGTTACCTGCTGAATTTCATTTTCCGATAAATCAAGCGAGCGCAGCATGTGTAAAGACGAGACTACGTTTGGTACTGCAGCAAGTTTGTTTCCAGCCAAGTTGAGTTCCTGAAGCATTGATATGTTTCCGAAGGCGTCAGTATGAATTGCTTCGATTCGATTGTTGTCCAGCTGAAGTGTTATTACTGAGACACTCAGCCCCACCAGCATATGCGGTCCAACACTTTTAAGACGGTTATTGCTCAGGATCAGTGTCTGTAGATTATTAAGCCTCGCAAACGTATTGTCAGCGATAAATTCAATTAGGTTATTTTGTAACTGAAGTGTCTGTAGGTTGGAAAGGGTACGAAATGGGTTCGGATCCAACCTCGTTAGCTGGTTATGGCTAAGATCGAGAACGCAAAGTTGGACAAGACTATTTGGCTCTCCCAGCCACCCCAAAGATGACAGTTGATTGTGAGCCAGGTCAAGCATCGTTAATTGGCTAAGTCCATTGAACAGACCAGGGGGAAGTGCACCTAACGAATTATTTCGAAGATACAGTTCGGTAAGCTTGTTAGTCGACTGGAAGAACTTGGTTGGCAGTGACATTAATGTATTGTGGGCCATATCTAAACGTTCTAGCTGGCTAAGGCCCGCTAGCGCACCAGGTTCAGCCCTAAAAATTTGGTTATGATCCAATCGCAATTCTTCAAGGTATGCCAATGACGCAAAACCACGTTCAGAAAGTACCTTCAACCGGTTGTTAGCTAGCTCAAGCTCACGTACAGTCGGGTTACAGAGTGATTTTGAGGAAAATCCTGTGTTGAGCACGTCCCCGAAAGCGTTTCGCGATAGGTTCACGAACCGTAAATGATTGAGTTCACAAAGAAGAGCATAAGGAAGTAACTCAATATTGTTTTCACTGAGATCAACTGATTCGACTGCTTTAAGTGGTATGAATGTCGACGGAGACACGCTAAGTGACATCCGATTCCACTCACTATTAAAAGTCTTCACCACGAGTTGTTTAAGGTCGGCGAGGCCTTCAAAAGCTTTTGACGGTAAATGGTTCAGCTTGCATCGCTCGAGATTAAGCGATTTCAGGCCATGTAGATGTTTAAATGAGCTGTTTGCCAGCTCACTCTGGAACATAAGATCGTCACAACGGATCGCCAGTTCGACTGTGTGTTCGGGCATGATAAGGGAGAAGTTCGTTGGGTTGAGCCCGCTTTGCAGAATACGAATACTGCACTTCATTGACATGCCGGCTGTGTCCGACATCGGCTCCCAGGTGCAGTCTTCGGGACGCACGTAGCGTGCTGTCATGCCGACAGGTAACAGGATGAGATACATCGTCGTCCATGCCGTAAAAAGTACGCGCATTGTTATAGCCATCCTGTTCTGCATGTACATGGTTAAGAACAGAGTACACTCTGTGATGTAGGTGGAACCCACTCAAATTCGTTAGGACCATATGGGGGGATTTTAAATGTTCATGTTCCTATTACGATTCGGTTACAGATAGTCTTGTGATGTGTGATTTTTATTATCCCGAAACCACACCATGCATCGCTGCCGTAGTGTTTCAACCTCCTTCCTTTCAATTATCCAAGCGATTTCACTGACACACGAGTAAAACCACATCTATAGACAGCGAGCATACATACTACAGAGCTGTTATTGCTAAAGAGATATGTGTAAGTTACATCAAAACTAGTTATACGTAGGGATATTTGCTACTTTTCTGGGTGACTAGTTCGTTGTTTGCTTGTTGGCTATCAATCGAGCGTGTATCACCACATGGCACCACTGAACTCACTTAGAAACTGGTCCGAGAATTCACCTCACGACGGATAGATGGCTTCTGTGGCTGCTCCCTTCACCCGTAGGGAGAGAACAATCGGAAAGGACAGGCGAGGGTAGTTAGGCGAGGGAGCGTCCTTGTCTAGAAGCTCTCGCCGCAAGTCTGAGCTGGTGCTAGAGGCGTTCTTCCCGTAATTGATGGATCAGCGTGGGGTTTAGTGGTCTGTATCCAAGTGCTTATGTATATGTCACGGCGTGACCGAGGTACAGGCATGTTCACTTGATCCTTGAAATGCAGGAATTTCGAGAATATAAATGAGAAAGCGTGTAAATAGTACTATATAATCTTGGTCTTTTTGTTATATGAGGTATTTGGCGGTTAGATTAGACAGTGGTAATTTTTCTTCAGCAGCTTCAAAACTGATTTGTTTCGAAGATTAGCACCCGATTTTTTTGCTTATGAATTTGCAATTGTATGATATGTCGCATGTCAGGCCATGTATGCTTATCATACCAACTGGAGAGAATATCATGTGCCTTGAAATTTACTTAAGTCAAAAGTACGTGCCTAACACGTCAGGATAACACGCAAAGATGCGATTTCGATGCCTAGCAAGATACTACGGGTAATTCGTGAAGACCAATGGGCTGTCATTGGCCACTGGATACGGTTTTGTTCGAAAAAAAATTGGTAGCGCGAAAAATAAGTGAACCTTAGTATCAACTAACTTGGATTTTCAAATATCGAAGCGTTTGTTTCATCGATTGGTAGAAATAAATATTTTCTAGCTTTAAAAAAAGCTCAATTCTGGACCATTGTTGTAATTCAAATGCGATTTACTTAGGACAACTGCTTAATCTGATGGTAGAAGATTGCCTACCAGTGGTTATTTGTCCTAATCAATCGAAGATGACATTCAAAGTTCAGCTTGATATTCCTCATCCAACCTTCTTTTCTCTTCATAGTTCTTGTTCTGAGCGCTTTCCGCGTATCCGGTTGAAACCGAAAATCGCTTTTGCACTAAGTAGTGCTACCTTCGTAGGACCATATCGGCCGTTGGTATGAGCAGCGATAACATCATCATCTTCATTTGAGTGACGTTATCTGGGGACACCCATCGTAGGCGCAATTATCCATTCCCGCCACCATCATGCTGATCGTACGCGGAGCGGGATGTCGCTTTTCGTAGAAAACATCCGTTCGACGATGTTACAGATGGCCACTTGCGACTAGCCATACATACTAGATACGTTAAACGTTCATCTATGTACAGGCGGCGTACATAAATCGCTGACTGAACAATGCCAAAGACACCATTGGCTTTAGATTGACGTTAGACTTCGCCTGACGATGGACAAACAGCAATAAGATGACCGCATGCAAAAATCTCAAATTTGACATTAAGAAAAACCGATGGGACCTTCGGAGCGACAAGACAATGGCACCAAAAAAAGAATATTGGTCGAGAAGTAGCGTAACTAATCAACGTATCTTGGTAGACACTTTTCAACGATTACAAACGTATTTCAAAACTTCACATAGCGCATTTTCTGCTTTCCAACGTGCGTCTTTATTACGGTACCAGCCAGCGGCGTCATATATGTGTAGCTGCCTCTTGCTAGGGCTGCCACCGCCATATAGCGCATCGTTACGTTTGCTTGTAGTATGCTTTTTAGTTTCTCGTCAACTTCTGAATTGCCAAACGTAAACCCGTTACATTGACACCTCCCAACTTGTCGCGCTTTATCAGCGTATTCCGTTCTAGCTGCTAGAAAAATTAAGCCGTTCCTCGTAGACAACGGGGCAATCACCATTGGTCAAGCCCGTTCGAGCAACATTCTAAATCAAACTGACAGCGATAAAGGTCTGATGGCTTAACCGTGTCAGCATAGGAAAACGTTCGGCAACGCCTTGAAATCAAGGGGCCTAGAACACAGTGCATTTCTTCATTTGCCATTGTAAGTACTCGAGAAATAATTATGCCAGTTATCGAAAGAACAGCGGTATCAAAACGGAGGACAATAATGTGTAGGCCAGAGGTACTGATACGCGAAAGTTTCATGGTTACTACAGATGCTCACAGCGATTACCACCAATTTCAGCAAACGGCCGTACTAATGATATGAACAACAAAAACAAACGGTGATTGAGTGATAAAAGCTTTTTCTTTACAATTTGAAGTTATGCTTAAAACGTTGGTGATAACCGGCGTCCCTTGATGCCGTTGAAGTTACGCTAATGCTGATGCCTTGATGATGGTGCTATTGACCGAGATGCGCGGGCCGCTAGTGCGAATTCATCACGAAGGATTCGAAGATTTCGCCCTTCGTTCATCGGCCGTCAACAAAATCTGATGTCGCCTGTTATTGTGGCCGCTATTGCTGCCATCGAAACTCCGTGAAGAAGTGTGTTTGTATGCGCGTAACCCCGTAGGCGATTGCGTGTGTGCGTCCAGATGAGAGACAGGAAAGAGATGATCGTAAGGTGATAGAGGCTCAAAAGACATCATCACCTGGTCAGTAGCGCCCTGTGGGCTTCGGCGCTTGTTTTGAATATAAGGACGGGGCCCACACGCTGGTGAAGGCTGCTGGACACTCCATTGCCAGAGCAGGCACCCACCAAATCACGAGAACTTGCGTATAGCCAGGGCACCCTCTTCGTTCGTCCTTTTTCTACTGATCCGCCGGTTGATTCTACTGATAGTCGCTGATGAGTTCTAACGAAAAGACTGTGCGAAATTGAAAGAAAGGACGCCATAACGAGAAAATCATAACGAGCAACGTAGATAAGTACACACAGATACACTGAAGAACTATTTCTGGTATGAAAAAACGAACTGCAGGAACAGTAAGATTTATAACTGAGGTATGTTTTTATAAAAAAAAAAATTAACTTTCGTTATAAGCAGGTTAAAAAGTAGCCCACTGAACGGTGTATTGAGTTTGACAACTCGCGCATTAATTTGAGGCTGGTAAAATAAACTTTGTTGCTTATTTCCCGTACAATACCATCTAAAAAACGGTACCACATCCTCTACAGGAATCCAGCCTCTAAATAATAAACAGATTTGAACAACTATTGAAAATTAGTTTATAATAAATAGAAACGTTCGTACGGACCGTACAAACCCTGCGCTTTTATGGCTAACTCAATCACTCAGTTTGGCCAATTCCACTTTGAGGAGGATCGCTAATTGTTGTCAGAACAAAAGAAGTGCAAGGTACAAAACTCTGAATAGCATCGAGTTCTGTATACATTCGATTAGTCACACCAAGACAAGCAGTGCTTCAAAAAAAAATCCTAATTAACATCCGCTTATCAAAAAAAAAAAATTAAGGATTCGACGATTAATCCAAGAGCAAGACTAACCATTGAGAGCAAAGAGTACTATAATACGCCCACGGCAGGTCACTAGGCCCCCGGTTACTATGGCGGAGTAAAAAATGTGCTAATAGTTCTGCGAATTGAGTGTCATTCATGTTATTATTATAGTAATAACTAAAGCAGATGGTACAACCATATAATTTATATGAACAATAATGTACGCTATATAGTTGTATTCTGTTTTAGAGCCCATAAGTAGCAAGTTGAGAATCTACCCATTGACCCACAGCCTCCACCACGCCGGATAGCGCATCTATGATTGGATTTTACGTCAATCTGGACAATTTGCGCAGAATATTAATGTACTGACGAACACCATCGAGCACAAATCCGCAACACAGTGAGCTTTGGGATACCAATCGCCGGATTTTGGTGAGTAAAATAAAATATCGGCGCAAATCGTGCCCGTGATTAATTTCTTCCCTACCCAATGCGCATACCGGAGGGCTACTTTGAACAGATTCATCAATAATCGGAAACGGAAACGAAAAAAAAAAAGGTGAAAATTCAATGCACATATGTTAGTTGACGAGCCTTCGTGTTTCAAGTTTTACGTCCGGAATCGCCGTTAGGCATAGTTCCATCAGACAGATGACTGGCTCCCACACGAGCCGAGGCCTGTCTATATCGGGGGTTCGCACCTAAACCACAACGTGTGCCTAAGATTAGCAGGCAAATACGTTACCCACTAAGCTATCGTCCTGCCCGCCTCCTAACAGACCGGGGCCTGACGGCGATTATACCGTTGGCTGGTTGAGACAAATCATCACAGAGGGAAACTGAGCGAAATAGTTGAACCTTACCAAAAATGAAATGTATTGACGCTTTCAACAGATCCGACACGGGAATACACGACGCAGTAAGAAAGCAGATGCCCGAAGCTTGTTTGGTATAACGGTTTGCCAGTGCTTTATCTATTATGCTTATCCAGATTCTAATAAAACCTCCATGAAAATTACTGGCATTCATCTGAAACACAATCAACAGTTCTTTGGGACAATGTGTCAAAAAAATACGCATTGAATATGGACTCGTAAAACATAATGGATGTAAAATTATCGAGGGACTCTCGTCCTACATTCTACGTATACGTTAATTAGTAATAGAATAATAAAAAAAAAAAAAAGTGAAAACATTTAATTTAAACTATAATCCATACAAACTATTTTAAGTAATCGTTTCGTATATATTCAACTCCGTGTGCTGATTAGGATATTTTCGTATATTAAATTTAAAGAAGCAATATATACAGGGTTGTTGTCGTATTTTGGAACCGATACGGTAATTCCATGCCATCGCCGTATTGTGTTGTCGCTGACCGCCCTAGTTGATATCGTATTCAGTGCACGATCTACGCCGTCGCAAGGTCCCATCTCCCATCTGATCCAGACGCTGAACTATAACAGTTATCAATTAAAAACGTCAAGTAGCCAATTGTCTTCATCTGCTGTATTTCCAACTTTTCTTTTACTGCGCATTAGTAAACTTCTAAATAGCCTAAATCGTAGCATCGAAATGGGCCGGTTCGGTAATAACGGTTACGTAGTGGATAAGACCAACGATATTGCGAGAGGAAGGAT